TGGGTCCAGGACAGATTCTGCAAAGGGTTGGAAGGAGAGCAGCTGTGTCAGCATGGCATCCATGGGAACCAGAACCGCCACTCTCAACTCCTCACTGAGGGCAGAGGGCACAGACGGGGCACACACAGAGGGAGGGAACTTGCTGAGGAGGGAAAAACCACAAGCTTAATTAGACAATAGACAAAACCAATACTTTGACATGATTTTAAAATCATGTTGCTTGAAATCCCCATGTTATGAATGTTGACCTTGCAATATATCTTTCATTTACCAGTGGATTTGGAGATACAACCGGAGAAATCGACAGCACGACTTGGCAAGACATGTTTTAAATTCCTATCACATGACAAAAAACAGAACATTATAAATATTTCAGACTTTTACAATCATTTTAACATGTTCTGATGTTTTTTAACTTTCACTTTCCCCTCAGTTACCTTTGTGTAGTGGACTAATGTGTTGGCAAAAAACCTACACATCTTTGTTGCTTTTTGGAAAAGCTTGTATTCTGGACAGTGCACAATTTCCTATGACAAACAAAAGGAGGAAGTCAGATATGAGCTGACCTTTTATATAAAAACACTTTAGACTTGTCCAACAAAAATACCACATCAACCAATAAATCACCACCTCTGCAAAAAAATGTTTAACTGATTATGAGCCTACCTGTAGGCCTGCCTGTTGAATCTGTTGGGCCAGCTCAAGACAGTTTTGGACAGATGTATATAGGTCTTCACACAACGAGAAGGCTATGTCAGTGTGGTGAAGCCGATCTTCTACAAAAGACTGGTATTTCACGCTCTGTCTGAAATCAAACACAAACTGTCAGTACATAAATTAGCATTATTATTTTTTTTCATAGAGATTTTAGATTGAATAATTAAGTATTAGGTGCTATTTATAATGTCTGATCAAATTGGCACAAGAAGGTTTTTTGACTGTGTAACATTTATCTAGTAAAAAAAAAAAAAAAAACCTGGACTCAAGTTACTGGCATTTAAATCATGCAGCAAAAGTGAGACTTTCCTTTTTACTTCAGGACATAAAATTAATCTTTATATGCAACATGGCCATAAAAAAATATTTCTATTAAAATCAGATAAAAGGTTTTATGATGCACATTAAACTCACTTTATGATAAATTTCCATGTGTTGGCATGTAGCGCAATGTCCAATCTGGATATGATCGAGCATATGTCCAGCAGACTGTGAATTACTGCAAGCCAAACACAAAATTCAAAATAACTACTGAAAAGCAAATCCACCTCTTCACTGGAGATTTCTCACACAGATACCACAAACCTGTGACAATATCCGACACTTCCTCCTCAGAAGCAGTGTCCTCCAAGTTAATTTTGTCCATGAGTTCCATCAGGCCCTTCTGCAAAGAATAGGCCTCTTTAAACAGGCCCTGAAGCAGATCGCCCACCAATGACAGCCTTCCACTGTACATGACCTCACTGTCCTATAAACACATCAACACCATACTGAAATTGACAGAAAATAAAATCCTCTGCATAACCACTATTGCAGTTCACAGACACACTAAAACAGACAACAGCCTTTTTGGTGTACTCACAATCGATGGCTGATAGTGTAAAAATATGTCCAGTGCATTATATAATAATAATGTTGTACCTTGCAGTGCTGGAAGGTGTCCTTTAGGACTCTGAGGATGCAGGAGGGCAGAGAGCGAATGGCATCAAAGGAGACAGACTCTTCGAAGGAACAGACATGACGCACACAGCCAGAGAGAGACTCCAGGGTCTGGACCATCATCTGGCAAAAACACAACAGCAGAAATCACTATGACCAGCAAATGAAGAAATGTTTGTTTCAATTTCAATATGGCATATTCAAACCTTCAAGATATTTCTCAATAACACATGTAGCTCTGTGTTCTGACTAGAAAGGCCTCCAATTTGCTTGCTGATTTCTTCCAAAAGACTGGCAAACACTTTTACCACCTGTGGATCGTACATGACAACACATGAAAATAGGCTTCCTGTTGAATACTTCAGGCTATAGAATTGAATTGGCACGAGTACCCGATACTCGAAAGTGACAGCAATGATAAATCATGAAAATTAATTACTTTTTTTCCCTGATTGGCTATGACAGCATTTTGGGAGGTACCTTGTCTGATTGCTAAGCATTCAGACAGCATGCTGCCCAGACCAGAGAACTAAAGTGAAACAAAGGCTTTGAAGTGCACAATGATGTCTAGAATCACTCCGTAATATATGAATATATAACACTCATATATGATGAATTAATCAATCCTCTACCAAAGCGCTTAATTTTACCGGTGTTTATTCACTTTTCAGCTCATGCAACGCGAGACATAATTCATTACAACTGTGTTGTTTGAAACAATCTTATTCCTTTCATCTTTTGCATAACATTTTTTTTATTAATAATTATAACTAGTTGTGTTATTTTTTTTATATTATTTCCATTAACAGTGTGTTTTATTTAAAATTGTTTCATTATCATCATGATACCTAGAGTACTCAAGTTCTTTTTTTAAATGAGCTACCAAGTACTCAAATAGAAAAAATGCTCTTCCCAACTATAAAACCAACATTTTGTGGGAATTTAATTCTCAAACCTTGGGTAAGACCGTGGAGAAACATCCCATCTCTAATTCTGATGAAGAAAGATGAGGGAGGAACCTGCTTGTGATTATTTGAAGAATATCTGTGGAGATGGAATCATGTGGAGAAAATCAACAAAGTAGGTTATACGAATAAAATATTTATTGAGAGGTCCACTCGAGATATGCCAGGTCTAAAACAATTACATATTGAAGACAGCTCAGACTTACTTGTGTGCTCTTCCCAGCTGTCAGTGTCATGATGCATGGCGTTCAAGTGTCAAGGCTAATCTTAATCATAATGTTACATAAATGACACTAAGGTAGTCCTAAACAATCAAATATGTGCACACTCATACATTGCCTTAGACTACAAGTAAAATTAATTTGTGAAGTCAGGAAAGGATATAACTAGTTTGGGCAGGACCGTTTTGAGTTCTTGTTGACAGGTCTCCTGGTTCCACTGAGAGACCTCATCCAAAAGGGTCACTTGAGACATTGTGGTCACGTTTTTCAAAACACACCTGCATTGACAACAAAGTTGTAACTTAAATCGATTTTATATATTTACTAAAATACCTCACCGATAAATCTACGTCCAAACGTGTTTTCGTAGTAAAAAGTACGTTAAGTTAACTTTATTCAATTTGAAGGTAAAACTAACTCAACTAGCTTCATACACATTTTTAAAAACTAGTATCTTCTTAGAACTTACCGACTTATTCAGAGGGAAACAGTAGCGATTAATAAACGCGTTTATGTAATATTTATGGACAATAATGAGATCCTGTATACATATTTGGGTCTTCTGTTTGAGTTCTCCTCCACATTTCCTTCTTCTGGGCGATTTCATTCGTCAGCACTACATGGGGTTTCTTTAAGAAAACGAAACCTGTTGGATAACTGTCCTAAGCGCTATGTGTGCCTATTTAACGCTACACAAAGTATATTTCCTCATTACGTTTGAATTCGTTTTACGAGTGTACATCAATAACAGTACAGCGCTTACGAACACCCCTCTAAAAGTGAATTGGTATCGCTCCCAACTTCGCGCCGTTTTCTTTGAGGTGAAGTGTAGTTTAGTTCATCTTATTTACACCGCACTCTACGGTGATTGGTCAGAATATTCTATACTTATTGTATGACCCAATCACAAACGAATTGTTGCCGAATCGATGTACAAGGCGCTCACGCCGCGGAACAGCTTTATGGTGATTGATTACAAGTGCTTTGCTTTTACTACAAAGTGCTGGAAAAGCATTCAGCCCAGCTCAGGCAGATGATGTACGTTTTCCGGTTATATAATTGTTGCATAATAAAACACTAAAGCAAACGCACACCATCCAAGGTGCATGTCGAAGATAACATATCTGTATAAAGGAGATAAGACCGCACTCTCACTTGCAATATTCAGCAACGTTTCATTCAGTAAACGAGTGACGCCTCGTGGGCCCATGCTCTTTTCTTTATCTTTTTCGTTTTCTTTCGCTGTTCCTCTTCTTCTTCTTCTTCTTATATTTTTACGGCGGTTGGCATCCAGCGTATTGGTGCATTACCGCCACCTTCTGCCCCGGAGTGTGGATCAGAAAATAGGTTTACAGACTAAATCACCCATTCTCCCACCTCTATCCCGACACATACATACCTACACACGCACACCTTATCCCTGCCCTGCTTTATAATAACATTAATAACAACAACAACAACAATAAAACCTGTAATCACTCCTATCGTTCCACTTTTTTTCCTTATTCCCACCCTTCCCATACTTTCCACCTTACATTTTGCGATTTCCTTAATTTTTAGAGCTTTCTCCATTTGCCCTGCATCGGCACATCTAACCAGTAAGTTACCATCATTAAGGATTTTCGCGAACTCCATCTCCCCTATTTTATTTGCCAGAGTTATGGTTAACACAAATGGGCTGACTTTCTTCATGATCTCCTGACTCTTTCCATTGAACCTAATTACGACCTCATACTTCTCCTTTATTTCTTTCTGAAAAGTTTCCCCTCTGTCATCATCATTTTCAGACTCCTCTCCCTTGTCACTTCTTACTCTTTTATTCCTTTTATCACTCAACTGACCCCTCCTTTCCCCTCCACTTCCTTCGTACCTCCAAATCTTCATTATAATCCATTTCCCCCCACCTACCTACCTCCAATCCATTCACGGAGCAGTCGTGCTCAACCGCCTGTACTTTCCGATAAATATGATGATCCGTTTCCAAAAAAAAATAAATAAAAATAAATTTCCTGTTAAAGTCCTAAACTGCTTTGTGCTTTCCGTTCCTCAAGCGTCTCCCTCGCCGCTTCTGAAGCAACGCCCTGCAGTTATGTTCTTTGGTCCCTGTTCAGCGCATCATACCGGAAGTTGGCCTCTTTCCTTCTTCGTTGCGTGATTTTTTTCCCCAAACCAGTTGGGCGCAAACCACGCCCC